CCTGGCTGACTTCCAGTCAGGAGAGTGCAGGGCTAGACCTCAGGTCCTATGGGTCACAAAGCTCCTGCTCCAGATGATATCCCAGTAGCCAACTGGAGAAGATTTCAGCACCCAGACAGAATTCACTTTCTCCCACATGACTCACTCTACAGGACTGGATTTGGGTCTTCTCTCCATCTGGTCCCTGAGGCCTTGATCCAACATCATCTGTAGAGTTCCTACCTGCCTGAGAGAGCCTTCATTGGAAAAGGGAAGCCACATGTGTGTGTGTGGGTATTGGGTAGGCTGGCTCACAATGCCCGAAGAGAATGTCTGTGAAGTTGTATTCCCCTGACTCCAGAAAGGCCTCATCCCCCAGAATACCCTCATTGAAGCTCATCTTACTAGAGCATGCTTTAGAACTTTAACCCCTGTTACAATACGAATATCTTCAAAGGAAAGAAAAACCAGTATCCTGACAAGTCATGCACACTTTAGTATAAAGTCAAATTCAATCTTTTCCTAAGAGCTTTGGGCATTGATATCCAGAGGAGAAGGTAAGAGGGAATACAGAATAAAGAATCTCGTAATAACTATGTATGGTGTCAGATGGGTACTAGACTTATCTGGGTGATCCCTTCATAAGTTATATAAATATCTGATCACTATGCTGAACACCTGAAACTAATATAATATTGTATGTCAACTATAATTGAAAAATAAAAAGATTTTAAAGGAAGGAATGAAGAATTTTTAAAAAAAGAATCTAGAGCTGAGTCTTCAAAGGAGAGAGGATAGCCTACAGGACTTAAACGTCTAATATTATTTATCAATGGCCATAAGCAGATTTGGTCTCCATTGGTAAAAGCCAACTTAGAATCAGAGGGCAGGATTCCAGCTTCCAGCTTCCCACAGCCCAGCTGTGTGATCTTGGGCAAGTCACTTAACCTCTCTGAACTTCCATTTCTTGTTTGAAAAGTAGAAGTGGTGCCACACCCATCCCAGGGGTGCTGTGAGATTACATGAATTGAAGTGTGTGGAAGGTCTGCGCATCTATAAATATTATTGTCCTTGGGTCTGTGCCACCACATTCTAGAAATTGTACAACTACTGAGCTACTTCTCTGAATGGCTATTGGAGCTGAGTCAATCCGCAGACCCATCATGAGCCCAGCCAGGGTCAGCTAACCCAATCTAGATCAGCTAACCCTTATTGTCCCATAAACACGTCAACTTCAATAATAAGTGATTGTTGTTTAAGCCACTGAGTGTGAGGGTAGTGTATTTCCCAGCAGTGGTTAAAATAATATACCAAAGTTAGGGTTCCTGACATTTAAATTTTTAGGGCCATGTTCAATAGTAATCATTCTAAAATAGATCTGACACTTATTTGCCTTCTTAAGCATAATAAAGTGAACACAATTCGATCTTCACTGGGTCATTCATGCTCATCATAGTGAAAGCCAGCAAATGTGCTGTTAAGTTCATGAGGCCCTCAGGGGCTGTAGAAAGAGTTCATCTACTATTCTTTTTTGATCTCAGAACTATTCCTTAGTTGTTTACCATTTTTCTTGTAACCAATTTTATGAGCTGGGTTGTTTTGTTGTGTCATCGTATCATAAGCAGCAGCCCGTCTCCTAAAATCTAACGTGCTGCAGGGAAATCTCCACCCTCCAAGAAACCTCTCTCAGCCTGTTAGAATGGTGTCCAAAGTAGAGTTAACAGGCTTGGAGTAGAGGCCAGAGCTTGTTTTCTGTCTATCAGATGCATGTGCTTTAGCACTCAGATTTCTATCATCAATGTTGGCCTCTTGGCTGCTTTTTGGCTCCCTTCCTGGTTCTCCTCTGGGACCCGGCAGTGGAGGTTGCCAGGTAATGAGCATCTGATCCATAGAGCTGGAGCTGCGTCTGGTGTTGTTGAAACACAGTCTTTCCTGGAGAGAGTGAAGGTAAGCACCAGCCTACATGCCCGTAAGAGCTCTTCCTCCACCATAGCCCCTCTCCAGGGAATTCAGCGAGTGCTGCCTGGGCTGCCTGGGTTTCAACAGCAAGTGACCATGGGTTCCCCAGAGCAGAGATGGCATCCATCCTACTTGTCTCTGTGTCCCCTGTAGCACTGGGCACACAGAAGGCACTCGCTAAGGTGTAATGAGTGAAATGAAAAGATCTTCCCGGTGGCCCTTGTTTCTATGAGCACAGGGCTCGTCTTCCTCAGAAGAGTAAAAATCTACAAGCTTGACTACAGACTATTTCACACCAAATTGTTGGAAAATATTGTCAAAGAATTCAAGTTCTCCTGTGTCAAGGAATAGTTCCCGTTTCAGGGCATAAGTTTATTTCTAAACTGTGCTATCTAGAAGCTCTGGTGACTAAATGAAGGGGACAAAGCCAAGTGACTACAGGAGAAAGCAGATACCTTTTTCTCTAAGAAGCTGTGTCCTTAGTCATGTCTCCTGGCTCCACCTTACTGTTTCACCAAATGTCTGAAGACCACATTCCCAAACAGAAGATCTGCACCTAGCAATTCATGAAGAAGTGCTTGTGGATGTGTAGGTTAGCTCTTCCACGTTCCCACCTGTATCCCTTCACTCTGCACCCCAGAAGCTGATCCCCATGACTCATCAAGGAGCTCCTCTGCCCAGGCCTCAGGTTGGGTTTGGTCAATGAGAGACACTACCAACAGGTAGTTGGAGGGAAGAGAGGTCGGGGTACTTCTCCACTTTCTCCTCACCTAAGGTCCCTCAGTGATCAAAACTCCTGCTCTGTGACCCCTCCTCCAAGGCCCCAAATCTTCCTGGAATCCATTTCCCCATTTCCTCCTCTTGCCTTTTCAAGCCCAGGGGTGGTAAAAGCTTCACACAGTTGCTAATTTCTCAACATTCCTAACTGATTCCCTTAATCCCACCCATAACCTCTGAAACTGGTCCCTTCATTCAAGTATTTTCATCAGAACCATTAGAGTTGCTTCTTTTTTCTGGTGTTACCTTGACTGGTACAATCTGTACAAAGTCTCACTTAAGAGATGTCCAAGTTATGCCAGGGCTCTCTCTAGGGCAAGGAGTTCAAAGAAAATCAGGGGGTCTTTTCTCTCTAGCTTTCAGAACTCATTAGCCATTCTGGCACTATCTACATTAAGTGATACAAGAAGATGGCATACCCCAATCTCCAATCTACAGATAAGAAGTTTTATTCCTTCATTCACCCATCCAGTCAACAAATAGTTATTGAGCACCTATGATATGCGGGGCACTATTCCGACCCTGGAGGGATGCTGATAATGTAAAAGATAGACACAGTCCCTGCCCACATGCCAACTAATGCCAACTATCTCCCCCAAATCAGAGAGCCCATCAGAGGCAGGGCTAGAATCAGAGGGCTGAGTTTCCTGAAGTCCTGAGCCTTCAGCAGATTCTCAAAGGATCTGTGGCCCAAACAAAGTTAAGAACCACCTATCAAGCTTCCCACTTGAGTAGCAGAATAATGAAATAATGACTCTCTCGCTCCCAGAAGAAGCGTGGTGCTGTCAACTCGAATTTATGGGGAGCGTGGTGGCACAATCACCCACTTTTGTATGTATTTTTATTGATTTTAGAGAGAGAGGAAGGGAGAGGGAGAGAGAGAAAGAAACATCAATGTGAGAGAAACATCAACCGACCACCCTGCATGCCCCCTATTGGGGATCAAGCCCACAACCCTGGCATGTGCCCTGATGGGGTATCGAACCAGTACCTTTTGGTGCATGGGATGATGCTTAACCAGCTGAGCCACACTGGCCAGTCGCCCACCTTTCCTCCTGCTCCCCACGCCCCATATTCTCCACAAATCCCCTACCCCTGACTTCAGTTCCTCACACTTCTATAATTAGCCCACACCCTTCTCCGAGTCTTTCCCTCGGGGCCCACAAATGCCGGCAGCACATCCTGTTGATGAGCTGCCTTTATGAATGGGCAGGGGTTGGGGGCTGAATTCAGAGCTGTGCCTCCTCTGAGAGCCTGTGTTTCTAGCAAATGGAGTGAGAGCAAAATTGCTGCCTCGATTAAAGTATTCCCGAGATGCATGCTGGAGCACATGACCGGCTGCCACTTCTAGGGAGAGCCGTGGGTGACTGAGGTGAACTGAGGGGGCTGTGAGGGGACAGGCCGCAGAGCCGGGTTCGCCTGCCTCCCTCAAGCCCTCTGAAAACACTTGCGTTTACTCCGAAAGGTTGAAATAGGCCATGCCAGCAACCCAATACTTCCGCTGCTCTGGGTCACACAGGACAAGGGCAACAGGAAAGCCCGCCAGGCTGGCAGCGAGAGCTCCCTTGCCTTCACCCCCCAGCCCTGTCCCCAGCAGACACCCCGCTCCAGGCCCGGCTGTCACTCTGGAGCCCCTCCGCCTCTCCCCAGAAAGCCCCTTCTCCCAGCTGCCTCCTCTGAGTCTGAGGAGAAGGCCCGCCCAGGGAGCAAGGACAGCAGGAAAGCAGGCTGGGGAAACGGAAGACCTAGTCCTGAGGCTGCAGGGGCCCTAGCCCCCCAGAAAACCAACGGGACTCCCTTCCCCTTCCCTTCGGTGGGATGGTCCGGGCAGCCGGCGACACTGGCCGAGCCGGGACAAGCAGTATGTTCACTCCACCTTATCTGCTTTGAGCCAAGCCCCCTTCAGGAGGGGCCAGGGGTGTATTTATAGAAACATCTGGGACTCACTTCTCTCTCTCTCTCGCACGTTTTCTGTCTCTTTTAGGCTCCCCATAATTCCCCACCAAAACAAAATCATGCAGCAAAAGGGGAGCAGAAGTGGGGGAGGCAGAAACACTTCTTCAAAGGTCTCTGGCTTTGAGCAGCCAGGTGGGGGGTGCTAGGAACAAGCACAGAGGGAGCTTCCTAGAGCAGCTGGAGTGACAGAAACCCGCTAGGGTGGTCGACTCCCTTCCAGCCTCCCTCCACCAAGAGCAGGAGAAAAATACCAGGACGCGTTGCAAAACAATCTTCCTTCCTCCCCCTGGCCCACACAGAAGGAAGAGAGGAAAGCTGTCATCATTTACCTGCTGAGATTGGGAGGACACTGTTGATGAAAGTAGGCTGAGACACGACAAAGCGGAAGAAAAGCTGAAGATAAATTCCCAGAGTCCTTGGATTCAGGACAACCATGCTGGCTGGGGTCTGGAAAGTGTCAGGTTCTCAGCAGCCTTCCCTCCAGGCTGCCGTGAAACCTTGCTTATCTCTGCTTTTGTCTTCCCCACTGCTGTTCGCCTCTCTCTCTCCCTCTCTCTCTCCCTCTCTCCCTCTCCCTCTCTCCTTTCCCTGTGCCTTTACCAAGAAAGAATGCCAACCATTTCCCATTAAACCTTCTCCATACTACTCAGGGTTATATTTATCTCAAGCACTGGACCAAATGCCCACATTAAAATTAAGATGTCAGAATTTTCTCTTTTGGAGACTGAGAGGTAAGTGGCTATTAAGGAGGTGATGACAAGGCAGCCAAGTCTCAATGCTCACTAGACGCAGTCCGCAAGGACTGATAGATTTTCTAATTGATTACCCACCAGGATCCACCTCTTGGAGTGGAGGGGTCCTGCAGCATCGCAGAATCAACTCTTCTGACTCAGGCTGAATTTCCATGGACACAAATCCTTCTGTGACATTTTTCCCACTGGGTGATAAATATAAAGTTGACTTTGGATTTTTTTTTTTTTTTACTTAATTACCCAATAAAAGGTGGGGGCAGGGGGTGTTATATTTTCCAAAACAGAATGAGCAAACTCTATCCCATGTAAAGCAAAATAAATGAAAAAAATCAATGGACTGGAAAGTGAATGATTATTTATTAAACTATATTGGAAGACAACTGACCAAATGGCAGAAGATATTTGCAAATGATACCTTGAAAAGGGGTTAATATCCAAAATATATAAAGAACTCATACAACTCAACAACAAAAACAATCTAATTAAAAAAGGACCTAAACAGACACTTTTTCCAAGACAAACGAATGGCCAGCAGATACATGAAAAGATGCTCACCGCTAGCTGTAAGGGAAATGCAAGTCAAAACCACTAGAAGATACCACCTCATATGTATTAGAATGACTATTATCGATAAGACAAGAAATAAGTGTTGGAGAGGATTTCGAGAAAAAGGAGCCCTTGTATACTGCTGATGGGAATTACAGCCACTATGAAAAACAGTATGAGTTGGGTGAAGGCATACTATAAGGTGACAATCCACAGCTCTAGCACCAGATGGGCTTGACCCCAGCTCTGCCGTGACAGTGAACAAATCTTCTGATCTCTCTAAGCCTCAGTCTTCCCATCATAAAATAGAGGCATGTTCCTTTTAAAGGTTTGTTGGAATAATTAAATAAAGTAACATGAGATGAAGCATATATGAATTCAAATTTGTGTATAGAGATAGCAAAAAAATGAAACCCAGGGAGCCATGGTGGATGGGGCACAAAGATGGCCAGCAGGAACCTCTCCCATCCCTGTATGCGCACGCCACTCCTTCAGCGAGAGGCGGAGTCTGTTTCCCCTCACGTTGAATCTGGGCTGGCCTTGTGACTGGCTCTAGCTAACAGAATGTGGCAAAGGTGACACTGTGCTCTTAACAGGCCTGACAGTTTCTGCTTCTGCCTTTTCTTGGAAGCCAACTGCTACATAAAAAAAGCCTGGACTATTGAGTAGGCTGCAGGGAGGGGAGAAGCAGCCCGCCTCCAGGTAGCTGGCCATCTCAGATGAGGCAGTAGACATGAGATAAGGCCAATTTGGATCATCTAGCCTCATTCAGATCTCCAGATGGTGGCAGTCACAGAAGTGACTCCAGGTGAGACAAGTTGAAGAACTGCCCGGGTGAACCCAGCCCAGATTACAGATTCATGAGCAAACAGAATGGCTGTTGTTTCTGCTTTCAGTATCCTGAAGCCACTAGGTTGTAGGATAATTTGTTATGCAGCAATGGCTAAGTGATACAGAATTTATAAGAAAAGCTTTTGAAAGCACAAAGAATATACTTGGCTTACATTCAAAATTAATAAGACAGCTTAAAGAGGGGGCAGCCTCCTTTAGCTGCCCCCAAATGTTTGACAGAGGGTGTGTGATTGCTGTCTAAACCCAACCAGGAAATTCTCAGCTTGCTCTTGTTAACACCTGCAACATACAGCCCCAGCAGCGGGCTTTTGGTGGCTTGAAGAAAGGTGTAGCCTACCTGCGAGGAAGGTAACTCTTGAGTAACTTGGTGCCAGAATCTGAACTTTCCCCATCCGGCTCAGATTCCTCCTCTGAGTAGCCAGGGTGATTAATTCCTTCTCTCAGCATACAGATTTCACCACTAAGTGTGAAGTTGCACAGATTATATCAATAATGTCTTGCTTGTTACACCTGCTGGTATTGTTTTTGAACTGCTTCTAAACCATCTTGTTGCTATTTAACCTGTGTTAATGTCCCGGAACATGGGGACTGTTTCATAGCTCTTTGTACCCCACAGTCCCAGGACAGTCCCTGTCACCTAACAATAGATCCTCAACAATGTCAGTTCAAGTTGATCAAATTCTACCATTTAGGATGAAAAGAAAGTAGGAGGAGTGGCATAGCTTTATGCTCCAGGCACACTGAATGACTTGCATTTCCCAGCACCCTTCATGCCTTTGCCCATGCAGCCGGTGGGCGCAGGCCTGGTTCAAGGGAGGGCTTTAGCGAGCACTGTGAGAGAGAGTCTGCGGATGGACCGTTGCCCAGAGTTAGGGCCTGCATACAGCAAGCAGACTGAATGTGCACATTCAGGCCACTAGGGCGCAAGACACTGCTGATTAAAGTTTCTACAGGAAACTTTACCCTTGGGGGAGGCCGCTCACAGAGGTGTTTATAAGCCCCCAATACTTATTAAACAAGTTTTTTAGTCAATTTCCATTTCCCATGTACCATGTATTTTATGAGCCTATTTCTTATGAGGTTACCCTAACTAACCGAGGCAGAAATTATCACCTTTTCTTCAAACTCTCTTGGAAGGGCTCTGAATTGTTCATAATCTAATAACACAGGCTATTAGATTTTTCCAGAAGGAAATTATTATAGACTTGTAAAAAGCTTACACCAATAAATCCTATCAAAGTTAGAGCCTTCCTTCTCATGCCTTGTAGGTGGGAATGTACACTGAAGAACAACCTGGGGTACCCATCAGCACTTAACATGCACCTGCTGTTTCACTCAGAAATTCTACAGAAATACTCACTCAGCTGCCCATGGTTGAGGTGCAAGGATGTTCACGACAGCCTCAAATCTGAAACAGCCTACCTCCACGTTGAGTAAGTCACGGAACCACCATCCAATCAAACATTATACGGTCATGACAAAGAACAAGGCGGTTCCAGTAACAAGTAATACTGGAGAATTGGTCTTCCCTACCCAAAACAAACAAAAACAAACCCGAACCCTTACCTTGCCCCAGACATAAAAAAAGATTAAACTTATAGAAGAAAACAGGAGAACATTTTAGTGATCTTGGATTAGGCAAAGATTTCTCTTCTTAAATTAAGATTTTTAAAATAAAATTTGTATATATTTAAGGTACACATCATGATGCTTTGATATAAATATACATTGTGAAATGATTACTACAGTCACGCTAATTAACACATCCATCACTTCATATAGTTACCTCTCTTTTGTAGTGAGAACACCTAAGAGCTAATCTAGGAAATTTCAAGTATTAACTACAGTCACCACGCTGTTCATTAGGTCTCTAAAACGTATTCACCTTACATAACTTAAGCTTTGTACTCTTTGATAACATCTTCCCATTTCCCTCACCCTCCCACCCCTGGTAACCGTTATTTTACTCTGTTTCTATAAAAAAAAAAAAAATTCTTAATTAGGACACAAAAATCACAAATTATAGAAGAAAAAAATGCTAAACTGGCCTTGATCAACATCTTAAAACTCCTGCTCTTCGAAAGACAATGTTAAATTGAATAAACAAGCCAAAGACTGGGAGAAAATATTTGCAAAACATGTATAATAAAGGACTTATGTTCAGAATATATAAAGAACTTTTATAACTCAATGTAATAAAGCAAACACCCAGTTAAAAGAAATGGGCAAAAGGTGTGACTAAATACTTCGCCAAAGCAAATACATGAATGGCAAAAAAGCACATGAAAAGGTCCTCAACATCACTAGTCATCAGGGAAATGCAAATTAAAACCATGATGAAATACTACTTCATATTACTAGAATGGCTAAAATTAAAAAGACTGGCCCGGCTGGGCGTGGCTCAGCGGTTGAGCGTCAACCTAGGATCCAGGCGATCGGGGTTCGATTCCCGGTCAGGGCACAGGCCCGGGTTGCGGGCTCGATCCCCAGTGGGAGGCGTGCAGGAGGCAGCTGATCAGTGACTCTCTCATCATTGATGTTTCTCTCTCTCCTTCTCCCTTTCTTTCTTTCTAAAATCAACAAAAAATATATTTTTAGAAATTATATTGGAAATTTACAATATATATCAGCATACCTAAGCCTCTGGAAAATCCTGCAGTAAAGAAACCCATTTACTTTGCTTTTATCCCTAAAAATATTTGACCCCTAAAACCATTTTTAATTCCTATTATCACTCCTTTTTTTCTTTATCTATGTTTTATATAATAAATCTGTTAGTGATGTGCTGAATAAATAATTATTATGTAGGGCTTTATTTTTTATAAAATCTTTTTTTAAAAAAATTGTGTTCACAAGGGAGGCAGTGGGATTAGACTTATAATTCACATTTTACAGCTGAGAAAACTGAGACTTGTGTGAGGTTCTGGGGAAAGAGGCAGAGATTTATGTAGTTTGTCTGGTGGAGCAATGGCTGGCAAGACTGAACCTAAACCATCCATGCTGCCTAATGATGCATCGAGCCAGATGCCAGCTCCCAGGTATCAGGGCGAGACTGGCTCCCCAAGGAGACATCCATCAACCTTCACCTGAACCCGACTCAGTAATGCTGTGAGTCCAAGAATCACTCAGCTCCGAAATGCAAAACCACATTCTTGGGAGGGAGACAGGAAAGTCACAGCTTTTATGACAGAAGTCAGGGAGGGCTGGAGACCTCTGAGGAGATCCCGAAATGGTTCATGACAAATGAGGATTGATGGTTCTTGACTGAAACTCGTAAGAAAGGAAAACATCCCGAGCAAGGCCAGTTTCCTGATGCTGCTTATTTCAAGAATCATAGGAATAAATTAACTCAAAATAATTGTTAAGCCACCAAAAGGCATAACAAAT